TGGCATCATGCTCACAGCAACCTCTAACTCCTGGGCTCAAGCGAGTCTTCTGCCTCAGCCTCCCAAGTAGCTGGGACTATAGGCACCCGCCACAACGCCTGGCCATTTTTTGGTTGCAGCCATCATTGTTGTTTGGCGGACCCAGGCTGGGGATTTGAACCTGCCACCTTAGGTGTTTGTGGCTGGTGCCTTAGCCGCTTGAGCCACAGGTGCCGAGCCAGCATAACCCTTTCAACATAACCCAGTTTAACATAACTTACTGGAGAACTTGTTGTTAGCCATTACTTCTTTTGTTTTTATCTGATGACGCCAAAGGCTATGGAGGAAAGAGAAGGTTTGAAAATCTGTCCTACTGACCTCGCCATTTGGAGGCAGTTACTTCAATCTTTAAAACAAGGCATCAAGAAACTTCTAGGGCCTACAGAAATTTGTGTGCAAACCTTCACTCCCATGTGGGCCTTAAGTCAGGGGGCTTTTACTTTGCAACCAACCAGGCCAAACTTAGGTCGGGGGGGTTTAGGCCCACAACCAACCTGGCCATATGGGATTCTGCCTCAGTTTCTCACAAGTATGCCTGCACAAAGTCTTTTCACTGCTCTCTCTCAAACAGCTTTTTTGGCCAGAGGCATATAGGCCTTTCGCCTATTCTTCAATACCATAAACTAAGCAATCTGAGGAGAAAAAAGAAATGCTAAGACAGACAGCCGAGAGCAGTGGCCTTGCAGACAGAACAGCTTCCAGTGACTCACGTGAATTCAAATGGTTTTGATTTTATGGTCTGGCTCATATTTAATTTAATTAGAGTTCTTTACAACTTACAGACATATGGAATTTGTGCTGGTTTATGCATAAATATCTTTAGCTTTATTCCAGAAACAATTTGCAAGAAGTGCTTCCTTTCAAACAAGATTTGTTTAAGAAATACCCACTTGGGGGTATTCCTGCTTTTAAAATCTGTTACATCTCAGTACATGCTGAATAAGGTCACTTAGAATTGTGGGAAGGGCACTGGGAGCCAGGCCTGCCTGTTACCCACATGGCTTTGATGGAGCCATTGATTTTCCTCTGTCTCTGAGCCCTCATCCTCTAATGATTTTCAACTGGTGTGCCATAAGAGGATCTAAGGTGTGCCACATAAATTTTTAAAAATCATTAAATTATTTTCAAAAGAAGTTCAAAGCACAGGGGCGGCACCTATGGCTCAGTGGGTATGGTGCCGGCCCCATATACCGAGGGTGGTGGGTTCAAACCCAGCCCCAGCCAAACTGCAACAAAAAAATAGCCGGCACTGTGGGAGGTGCCTATAGTCCCAGCTACTCAGGAGGCTGAGGCAAGAGAATCACCTAAGCCCAAGAGCTGGAGGTTGCTGTGAGCTGTGACACCACAGCACTCTACCAAGTGTGACAAAGTGAGACTCTGTCTCTAAAAAAAAAGAAGTTCAAAGCATAGTAAGTATATTCTTTTTTTTTTTTTTTTTAACTTTTTTTGTAATGAACAATTTAAGTGTGCCTCGAAATGTCAATTTATAACTATAGGTTCAAGTGTGCCTTAAGATTGAAAAAGGGTTTGAAAACACTGTCTAGAGGATAATGGGGACAATGGCCCACACAGAGTTGTCATGACATATAAATGAAACTATGGATGAGAAAGTGCTTGTTACATAAATAGTAACAAAATCTCCAATCTAAGAATCAACAAAATAAAATTATTTGAGCGTGCATTTTCCTTTCCGAACACCCTTTTCCCGCCACCCCCGTCTATGCTTTGGGTACTGATGTAAGAATTGGGATAAAGGGGTGGGAGCCAGGCATAAGCTGGCAGAGTGGGCTGAAAGGACCCCTGTGTGGCAGGTGAGACTGCAGACACACTCTTGGCACTGCGCTACTGCAAGGACCGCGGCGCCCTGACTGTGGGTGTCACCAACACTGTGGGCAGCTCCATCTCCCGAGAGACTGACTGCGGTGTCCATATCAATGCAGGGCCTGAGATCGGCGTGGCCAGCACCAAGGTAGAAGGAACCACGTGGTCTTCTTTGGGGAGAGCCTAGGCAGTTGGGCCCAAGGCCCAGGTGCCCTCTGGTGTGGACAAAGCATGCAGTCCTGCCCTGCTCTACCAACAATGCTGTCTTTCTTTCCTTTTGGTTATTTTTGTCTCTTCATTTATTATCTCATTTTGTTTCTTCATCAACTTCCTGCCTTTTCCATGTTGTCCTTTAGCTCTTTGAGCGTCTTTGAGATGCTTGATTTAAAGCCCTTGCCACCTCCTTTGTCCACAGGCTTACACCAGTCAGTTCATCTCTCTGGTGATGTTTGGTTTGATGATGTCTGAAGATCGAATTTCACTACAAAACAGGAGGCAAGAGATCATCCGTGGCCTGAGATCTTTGCCTGGTAATTCCTACAACTCAACTTCCTGTATTTTCAAATCCAGTGAACTGTTTCAGGCCATTCTCTTCCTTGACTCTCTCTTGTATGTGATACTGTTAACTTTGCCTCCTCCTAAAACTTTCTAGCCACCACTGAATCCTAACAACTCCCACTGGACCAAGATTAAAATCCACACCCTTCACTAGGCCCTGGAGTCTTGCACACCTCACCTGCCACCTCACCTGCTTCCTGCCCCTCCCTAGGCTGGCTGCCACCTTGACCTTCAAACCCTCAGTAGTGTCAAGTGCTTTCCTAACACACGGTTCTTGCACTGGCTCCTTCCTCTGCTGACACTCTCTTCCTGAAGCTCTTGGCACCAACTTCTTATCTCCCAAGCCTCAGCTCAGATGTCACCCTAACTAACTGAGTTCCTAACCCCATGCCCTAGCACTTTTTTAAACATTAACTCATTTCTTTTCTTTCTTTCTTTTTTTTTTTTTTTGGAGACAGAGTCTTAAGCTGTTGTCCTAGGTAGAGTGCCATGGCATCACAGCTCATAGCAACCTCAAATTCTTGGGCTTAAGTGGTTCTCTTGCTTCAGCCTCCCAAGTAACTGGGACTACAGGTGCTTGCCACAATACCCGGGTATTTTTGGTTGCAGTTGTCATTGTTTGGCAGGCCCTGGCTGGATTTGCCAGCTCTGGTGTACATGGCCACTGCCCTAGCCACTGAGCTACAGGCGCTGAGCCTCATTTCTTTTCCATATAACATACCTCATGATCGGAAATGACCCATTCACCTATTTACTGGCTTGTCTCCCCTTTGATCATTACCAAAGCCTAGGGTCTGAAATCTGGCCAAGACAGCATGCTGGAAGTTTATTGACAGGAAAAGCATTCTTTCTTTAAGCCAGATCACAACTATGCAAAATAGGATTCTATTCTGATGTCTAAGCCAGCAGTTCTCGAGATGTGGTCTGCAAGACTTGGGGTCTACCAGCTCTTTCAGTCAAAATTATTTACATAAATAATTATTTACAATAAATCAGACTTTTTTTTTTTTACAGTGGTGGCTTAGCACACTTGAAGACCTAATGATCACTGTGTTCTTAACCACCACACACCCAGTTTCATTGAAGAACATCCTTGATGAGGTGGTAAAAAATGTTAGTCTATAAACTGAAGTCCTTTTTAGCATTCTGCATGAGCAAATGGGAAATACTTCTACTCATGCTAAAGAATCATGGCTGTTTCAAAGAAAAGCACCCTTGTGATTATTTGAGTAGCAAGCTCATTTGGATATTTGGCAGACATTTTCTCAAAACAGTTATCTCTACACATCAATGAAAACAACCTACAGTATTGGTTGCAGTGATAAACTTTGAGCTTTCAAGAAAAACTTAGAATTTTAGAAAACTCATATCTGCCACCATGAGTTCAATTACTTCCCAGCATTCAGAGACTTTTCTGATGAGATCCTGGTGACTTAGCAAATGTGATATAAAAAAAATTTTATAATGGAATGTGTACATTATTTGCATAACGTTGTGGCCAATGCATAATGTTACAAAATTAAATGATCCATTTAAAAGTACAAGATAAGGCTGGGTGCAGTGGCTCACACCTATAATCCTAGCACTCTGGGAGGCTGAGGTGGGTGGGTGGATTACCCTGAACTCCCAGGTTTGAGACCAATCTGAGCCAGAGTGAGACCCCATCTCTAAAAATAGATGGGCGCCTGTAGTCCCAGCTACTATGGAGGCTAAGACAAGACAATTCCTTGAGGTTAAGAGTTTGAGGTTGCTGTGAGCTATGAGGCCACGACATTCTACCAAGAGTGGCAAAGTGAGACTCTATCTCAAAAAAAAAAAATAGAAATACAAGACAGACTAGTGAATTTTAATGTAACAAAGTAGAAAAAGTTTACTGATATAATTTCAGATTTCACATTTGCAACTACCTTCTTAAGAAACTACTGTTTCAGCTCGGCGCCTGTGGCTATGATGCCACGGCACTCTACCCAGGAGGATAGCTTGAGGCTCTGTCTCAAAAAAAAAAAAAAAAAAAAGAAACTACTGTTTCTCAAGTTATGTGTATGGTAGTGTCAAACAACAATATTCACAATTGTTTGGAAAAGTTACTTAAATACTTCTTCCTTTTCCAAATGCAAATCTCTAAGAGGCTGGATTTTATCCCTGCACTCCAACCAAAAGAACATACCACAGCAGATTTGATGCAGAAACAGATATGACAGTCAATGACCTTTCATTAAAAAGTTAGACATTAAAAAGATTTGCAAAAATGTAAAACAATGCCATCTTCTTGCTAATTTCTTTTAAAAATATAGTAATGTAATGTGTATATTATTGTTATTTTGAAATGAATTAATAAAATATTTAAAAATTTCTAAATGCTATTTTATAATCTGGTAAACATTGATATTATATAACCCCCCAAAACAAAGGTTCTTAGAGACCCACAAAAATTTTTAAGAATGTAGAGGAGTCTAAGACTAAAAGGTTCGAGGACCTCTGTGTCCCCTCATGCTGGCTTTGTCTTCAAACAGCACTTGGCAGAAAAGGGGGCATGAACTTGGAGTGTCAGTGCTTTGTCTTGCCAGCTGGTGATTTCCTCCTCCAAGCCTCAGTTGCCTGACCTACAAAATAGAGCTAGAGATAATACTTCCCTCCCTACCTCAGCGGTACTCAAGAAAGTATTCACACATCTGTGAATCACCATAGTTCTTCTTCATGAATATTGTTTTAAAATCAAATGATTGACTTTCTCTCTCTGCTCTGTGTGGCTTAGAGCTGATCAAAGAGGTGCTGTCTCTGGATGAGAAGATCCATGACCTGGCCCTGGAACTCTACACACAGAGGTCACTCCTCGTGATGGGGCGGGGCTACAACTATGCCACATGCCTGGAAGGAGCCCTGGTGAGCCCCCCTCAGCTGAGTCTCCCTCCCCAGGCAACATGAAGGCAGGCACATTGGGAAGGAGGGCTCCTTGGCCACCCCTGTTAAGCCTGCACTAAGCATCAGTTCCTGACCAGGTATCTAGCTCCCAAGACACAGAGATGGGTAAGACAGGTGCCTGTCCCCCAAGGCTCCCAATCTTCTAAGGAGAAAGAGGCAGGGCATCCTTGGGCAAGCCCCAGGTGTCCAGACAGTGCCAGGCTTTGTTTGGAACAGTTCACACACCCCTCACGAGGTCTCCTGAGAGGCTGGTGATAACTGCGCACATTTCACCCAGGAGGAAACTAAGCCTCCAGGAGGTGAAGTATGTAAACCAAGATGACTAAGAGCAGCCTTTGCATCTGTCCACTGCCACAAGGGTGGGGAGGCTTTGCCAGCCTAAACTGCAGGGTGGAGGTCTCTGCAGAGTTTCCTTGTTGCTCCTCAGAGAAGTATGAGATCCTCCAGAAGGAGCTTCAAAGGCCCTGCCTTTCTACAAGAATTGATGATAGGCTGTTTGCCCCTGCCAGCAATAAAGATCCAGACCAGCTAAGAGAAAGCTAATGGAGCAGGGGCAAGGTGGCAGGGCCACAGGACTGCCAAGAGGGTGGACACGCACCATTCAGGGTCATTGTCAGCTTGAAGTTTATGGATCAGAATGCTCCACCCAGGGATCTGGGAGACAGTTTTCCAGGCCATATAGCACTGGGACAGCAGATACTGGTATCATCCATTGCCCAGCTTTGTTCCATCCTCTCCCTGTAGGAGGAAGTGGCCATTCTCTCCCTACCAACCCCACTTGAATTATGATGCCAACTGCAAGTGGTTCAGGAGAACCACTCAGAGCTTGTTTCAGGCTATCTTAGTCTAGAGCTCAAACCTGACCTCAGTGAGCTCCAGGTCCCATATCCAGCCCATGGAGATTCTGACTCCTGCCAACAGAAGCCAGAGCTGGCACACTGCTCCTCAGAGGGCACAGTAGAAGCAAAGCCTAGGGGTGCACTGTCAGCTCCCAGACAGCTCAGCCACCTGGATGGGGGGCTCAGCTACAGTGGCTGAGTGTGCTGGTGAAAGACACATATTCAACTGTGCCTCCAAATGAGTCCGCAGGGAAGGAGAGAAGCATTCAGGCTGCTGCTGGCAAAGTTAGTGGCCGCTTTATGGTCACTTAGAGGCTGGTGCTCCAGTGGTCTGCAGCCTGCAGAGTAGAGCTGGCCTCTCCATACAGCATTTCCTTGACCCAAATAAGTAGCCCCAAGGGAGTTAGGAGATGTTTTCTTTGACACTCTCAAGTGATGTTGATTAGACAGTAACTAAATAGAAATGGATCTACCTAAACATAGGGAAAAATTCCAATAATACCCCAGCGCGTATAGCTTTGCTCCATAGGTCAGTATGAATGACCCTTTAGGAGTTGTTAATGATCCGAAATTAGGGGAATGCTTAATCACATAACTGACTGGGGGTATATCCAAGTGGAATACAATGCCATGGTGAAGCTAACTACATGGCCCATGGCTGGTTACAGAGGAAAAGAGGGTGAGGTAGGCGACTGTGATCATGACCTGTCCACCCAAAGGGGTGGCTGTGCATGGAACTGAAGGGTGATGGAGCTACATTGGCTGGGACTGGACTAGGGACACAAAGGCTGCATGTTAAGCTTTGTACATGCTCTAGGTAGCAGCCAGACTGCTCTCCTGTCCCTTACCAGATGTCCTTAGGGCTGCTGACCACTCCATGGCATGTATTATCTACTGTGTGACCCTCCACTCTCTGCCTTCCTTCACACTTCTCCTGCTGCCCTTCCTCCCCTCTGGCTGATAGCTGCAGCCCCCTGTGTGTGCAGTGTGCCTCTCATCCCACCTCCTGTTTCCCCAGAAAATTAAAGAGATCACCTACATGCACTCAGAAGGGATCCTGGCTGGGGAGCTGAAGCATGGGCCCCTGGCACTAATCGACAAGCAGATGCCAGTCATCATGGTCATCATGAAGGACCCTTGCTTTGCCAAATGCCAGAACGCACTGCAGCAGGTCACCGCCCGCCAGGTGAGGGCTAGAGCCACCCAGCTCCCATTCTCCACACTGCCCACCTCACCATATCTACCAGCACCGGCTGCAAACACACACTCTCCTGGACCCTCTTGTGAGTAGTGCACTCCTTTGGGAAGGAAGTGGTCAGCCTGCAGCAGTGGGCCACAGCAACCCAGACTGCCCTGAGCTGCCTTGGCTTCCATCTAGAGGCAGAGGAGGTACCCCCACTGGAGAGCAGGGCAGTACTGCCCCAGGCTGTGCTGTGGAGTCAGGTTAGATCCCACAGGCTTAGGGCTTAGTCCTCACCTCAGACACTCGCACTACAAGCTCAGGGCTGCACTGTCCACCCCTGACCAGCTAGCTACAAATTTCAGAGTTCCTCATTTCCCCTCAGGTTCAGTAATTCTCTAGAATGACTCACACAACTCAGGAAAGTGAGTCGCTTCTACAGTTTTATCACAAAAGATGCAAATCATGGCCAATTGCAGAGAAGATACCCATGGAGTAAGGATCCCAGATGTGAAGCTTCTGTGTCCTCAGAAGGTGGCACTCTTCCAACATGTTAGTGTGCATCAGCAGAGAGCTCACCTGAGCTGCTGGCTCTGGTGCCCAGAGTTTTTATTAGGGTCTTATTAAGTGGCATGGTTGATTAGATTATTGGTCATGTGACTAAGCTCAGTTTCTAGCCCCATTTCTGTCCTGGGAAGTTGGGAGTCCAAGGTCAGGCTAGCTTAGAGCCCTAACCATCTAATCATGTGGTTGGTCTTTCTGGTCAGCTCCAATCCTAAAGCCATCTATGGGCCATCATGTGTCATCTGATTATCATAAAGTAAGTTGAAGTCCAACAGACCTCCATGAATAACAAAAGACACTCACTTCTATCACCTGAAAAAGCCTAAAAATTAGGCTCCCTCTTGGGAATCAATGACAAAGTCCAGCCAAAGTTTTATACAAAGGACCACCACCCTGAGGGAAGAAGGCAGAGGACCATCAGATCTGTCCTGGGAGTTCATGAGGTTACAGGGAGGTAAAATCCAACAAGGGACTCCATCCAGCTGCTGCCATACTCGGCTTGGCACAGAGGCCAGAGAGATGGTATGAACACAATCGCATAGTTTCTTCACTTAAAACCCCTCCTGTGGCTTCCCATCAAACTATAGTAACCCCTAAGCTTGACCCCACCCTCCGACTTCACTGAGTCCCAGGGACTCCAACTTTCCTGTTTCCCACTCACACCCAACTCCTTTGCAGTGGCTGTTCCCTCTGCCTGGAAAGTTCTTCCTACAAATCTGCAAAGTTGGTCCCTCATTATTCAGGTCTCAATCCAAACATCTCCTTTCTTGAGAGGGTTTCCCCAGACTTCACCAATGTCTCCCAGTCACATTACCTTGTTGCCTTTGTGGCATTTCTCTGAAATTCATCTGTACTCAATGACAATGAGCCCCATTACAGTGAGGATCAAGTCTGCCCTGCCCTTCAAAAGGCACACTGAAGCCACCCAGCAAATGGGTACTGAATGATGCAGCAAGATGGCAGTCTCCTTACCAGAGGAAGAAACACACCCCAAACCACCACTCATGTCCCATACTAATCACTTCACCCACCCATAATTCCAGCAAAATATTACTGTTATCATAGAAGTCATGTTGATTCCAGATGCTCTGCGTGTGTGAGAGATTGCTACTTTCTGAGACTTTGTGGTTGTGTTTCTCTGCTTTAGGGTCGCCCAATTATACTGTGCTCCAAAGATGACACTGAGAGCTCCAAATTTGCATATAAAACGATTGAGCTGCCCCATACCGTGGACTGCCTCCAGGGCATCCTGAGTGTGATCCCTCTACAGCTTCTTTCCTTCCACCTGGCCGTTCTCCGAGGATATGACGTAAGTCTAAGAATGACACCTGATATAGCAAAGAGGACAGACATAACCCCACAGGTGTTCTTGTTTGGAATACTTATTTGGAGTAAACAATCATAGGAGAAATAATTTCACTTAAAGAAATCTTCTTTTAGGGGCAGCGCCTGTGGCTCAAAGGAGTAGGGCACTGGCCCCATATACCGGAGGTGGTGGGTTCAAACCTGGCTCTGGTCAAATCTTCTTTTAAAAGTAGCTTATTATACGCCCTGAAAACAAGCTGGAAAACTGCAAAATATGTAAAGGAAGAACTGTATCATCAAACCATAACCTCATCAGCCAGAGTCATTTGGCAAATTTAATATTTTATTCTAGATTTCTTTTCCTGTGCCATGTATTTTTTTTTTTAACTTTTTTTGTTTGTTTGTTTGAGAGAGAGTGTCTCATTTTGTCGCCCTCGTAGGTGCTCTGGTGTCATAGCTCACAGCAACCTCAAACTCTTGCACAAAGCAATTCTCTTGCCTCAGCCTCCCTGGAAGCTGGGACTATAACACTCAGCTAATTTTTTTCGATTTTTAGTAGAGACCAGGTCTCGCTCTTGTTCAGGCTGGTCTCAAACTCCTGAGCTCAGGCAGTCTATCTGCCTCAGCCTCCCAGAGTGCTAGGAATAAATTTTCAGTATTATCTCAAGATACAAGTTTGCATCTTCCCTTTATTATAGTACAAGTATTTCTTACATTTTTGTGATTTTGTTATAGGAACATCTAACGTTGCGTGATATTCCATCACATGATTTCCTTAACAATTAGTCTTCTATTATTTAAACTTTCCTAATGTTTTTGCCTTCACAAATAACATAGCACTGAACATCTTTGTACATACAACTTTGTCCTGCATTTAAGATTTGCCCTTAGTCTAGCAAATGATTTAACCTTTTGGACTCCTAACATACATTGCCAAATTACATTCCAGAGAAGAACCAATTTGTGATCTCACCAGCAAGTATCTTAAGAATATATAATTCATTGTGCAAAGAAATAGAAGTTTTATTAAAATTTTATTTTGAGACACTTTTATTATTTATTTATTTTCATTTATGTATTTATTTTTTGAGACAGAAAAAATGTCTGTCACTCTGGGTAGAGTGCAGTGGTATTGTCATATCACACTGCAACCTCAAACTCCTGGGCTCAAGCAATCCTCCTGTCTCAGCCTCCTGAGGAGTTAGGACTACAGGCATGCATCACCACTCCCAGCTAATTTTCTCAAGTTTTTTTTTTTGTTGTAGAGACAGAGTTTCACTTTATCACTCATGGTTGAGTGCCCTGGAGTCACATAGCTCACAGCAACCTCCAACTCCTGAGCTTAGGTGATTCCCTTGCCTCGGCCTCCCAAGTAGCTGGGACTATAGGCTTCCACCACAATGCCTGGCTATTTTTGGGTGGGGGAGCAGGGCTGGGTTTGAACCCGCCACCTCCAGCATGTGGGGCTGGCGCTCTACCCTTTTGAGCCACAGGTGCTGCCCCAATTTTCTCAATTTTTAATACAGACGGGGTCTTGCTTTTGCTCAGGCTGGTCTCAAATGCCTGAACTCAAATGTTCCTCCCGCTTTGGCCTCCCAGAGTGCTAGGATTATAGGCATGAACAACTGTGCCAGGCTAGAAAACTTTTAAAAATATATAATAGTGGAAAGAATAATATGACAAGCACCTGAATTTATCCAGAATTGACATTTCTTAGCATTTTGTCATATTTGTTTCATCTTTTTAAACATACACATGTATTAAGACAATGCAGATAAGGTTGAAGCCCATCTTTTAAACCATCCCAATCACATTTCTTTCCTACCCCTCATCCTAAACTAATAAGTTATGTGGGATTCATGTGTATCCTCCAAGAAAAGCAAATTTTTAGTAATACAAATTGAGCTGTTATTAAAAGCATGGATCATATTTTTCCTATAGTGTTAACGTAGCATGATACACATCAGATGCACAATAATTGTTTATTGAATGAATTAAACATTATATAGTTAAATAAAGCTTCTGGAATACGGACTCCACAGTTCTATGGGTAGCTTATGGTTGGAGGTGACCTGGAGGTCCATCTCCTTGTTTTCAAGCACTCTGATGGTAGTCTTTATATAGAGCTGGTTTCTGAGTTTTGTGGGGGTCCTAAACAATCACTTTCTTTAATTTTAGGTTGACTTCCCCAGAAATCTAGCTAAGTCTGTCACCGTGGAATGAGAAGACCAGGACAAGACCATCACCACCTTCAGTCTGATTCCAGACCTGTCCTGATAGCAGGGATGCCACGTGTTCTGCGTGTTCACAGTAGAGCTTGACAGCTTCAATGTGCCTTGTACCCAAGTGCTTTTGCTTACAGCAAATACTGTTTCTCTGTGTCCTGCTGTCGCCAGAGGAGAAGAGAATCATTGTTTACACACAGGGATCAGAGCAGACTTTTCCACTACTGTGCAATAGAGATACAGCTCTCTTCAGAGTAACTGTGAATCTTTTTTAACCAATATTAGTTAGCTTTAAAAGACAAATTATTTATAATGACAACTGTATAGTTTTTAAGTTATTTTTCTATGTGGCTTTCTGGCCCATACTGTGCATCCCAGCCACCCACAGTATGCTGTCTCTGGGTTTGCTCCTGGCAGGTGGCATTCATCTCAGATTTGAGCACAAGGCATTGACCCTCTGGATTCCTTTCTTCTTTCCTTTCCTTTCTAGGCTGCTCCTGAATCGCATCTCCTGACTTCAGGAAGCCACTCCAGCCATCTGCCTAGGCTGCCTATAAGTCCAATTGAAATGTCAATTTCCTTCAGCATTTTCTTCTCATCTGTAGCCCAGATCCCTCCAACTCTCTAACTTCTGTTTAATCTAAGCCCAGGTTGCATTTTGTTCCTGCTCCCTGCCCATAGTAAAATGGCTTGAAATATCCCATGCGAGAGAGTAGTGTCAAGTGGGCTACCTTATTCTCTGTTTAAAAGCATGCACAATCAAAGTCCTACGCAATTTTAAGACAATAAACAACATACAATTTTTTTCTCATGTGTTTTGATTATGTTAACCTTATTCTTTTTGTGTACGTTGGGTTTTTGAGAACTGGGAGCTCAGCAGTGTTTAGAGGAGCAGCGCTGTTTGTTAGTAACTACTGGTATCGTCCACACCTGTGACTCTCAGGCTTCTAATACAAAACCAAGAGCTATTCTATAACATACACAAAGTGCAGATTTGAGACTTGGATGAGGGTCCAGTGAATCAGGAGAGGGTTGGGCCACTTCATGCTGCTCCAGATGGTTGCCCAAAGCCAGGAGGCTGCATAAAGTGACACTTCCAAATTTGTATTTTTTTCCCCCAATGAGCCTATTAATAAAATCAGGCAGGAAGATAGAAAGCCAGAGACAGAGTTTGAAGGTTTGTGAGGTTGGAGTTTAGGCTCCCTACATGAGCACTATTGCACACACTTTGAATGATGTCTTCTTGACAACTAATTAAGCCTCAGTTTTGAATTACCTATGGGCCACTAAGCAACTTTCCCATTCTCTTCTATGCTCTTCCCTGTATCACAGGGGTTGGAAACCTGTGAACTACATTTCCAGGTTAAATTCCACCAGTGACATAAACTTGTGGGCAATTTGGAACATAGTTGAGGGGCAGACATCATATTGCTTATTTATCCTTGGCAGAAGCAGATGGGAATATGACCGAGGTTTTAGTAGACAGGGGTTTTGCTATGGTCTTTGGGTGCTCCCCAAAACTTGTCCAGCTCAATACTCCCAGCAGTGGTGGCCACAGTTTACTGTAGCTCCTCCAAAATCCCAACTTAGGAGAGCTAGCAGGAGCCAGGAGCCCCACAAGCTTTCCCTGACCCCCACCCTCCAGGCCTCCACACAAACTAATGAGGGGGTGAGTCCTGGAAATGGCCTAGACTGGTTTCTGTCTTACTGACCAAACCATAGTCAGGGCAACTTCTGAGATTAGGAGACTCTTTATAAATCAGCCCAACCCTTTTCCCTGGACAAGACCCAGGAAGTGCGTCTTTATCCTTACACCAGAGAGGCAACAACCATCCTTACCTTTGTGCTGCTTGTTCCTTGTATCTATCCTCAACAACAGCCTGCCTAGTTTTGAAAGCAGAGGGCAAGTGCACACTAGCTGTAAGGAGAGGGTGGTACTGCCCCACTAGACAGAGGTTTCGGGAGGAGGGGAGTGGGTCAGTCTCTGGGTTGTGGTCTGATTTCTGCTTCTCTGGGTGTTAATAAGGCCCCTTCTAGGGAGACTGTGAGAATGGTCATGAGTCTCAGGAAACACAGGGCTGAGGGGCAGGCCAGGCACTGGACACACAGCGTAAATATGATCAGAGGGCAGGGGCTACCCAGTACCTTCTGCTCCTAAGTTCATCACAACCACCCTTCAGCTCTCTGGGGGAAAGCTAGAAACTTAAGTGAGTGATGTGCATGTCCCCAGAGAGCAGGAGGGGAAAGACCCTCATCAGTATGTGGTCAGGATGAGCCAAGTCCTGATGAGATCCTGGGCCAAGCTCTCCTGGGCATCCTGTCCTCAGTTAAAAAGATGGTTGAATTGAAGTGAGGTCTTGGTGATGACAGTCTACCTCCCAGGTGGCACTGTTGCAGCATGGTACCACCCTGGGGTCACTTCTTACTTTCCTCCATAGTATTCCTTTGCCATGTCTTCTGGACTGGGCTCCAGTTTCCTTTATCTGTCTTTCTTCTTCTGAGTTTCCTTTTTTGTTTTAATGGGGCATATCCTTTTTTTTTTGAGACAGAGTCTTGCTTTCTCGCCCCAGTAGAGTGCCATAGCATCTCAGCTCACAGCACCCTCAAACTCTTGGGCTCAAACAATTCTCTTGCCTCAGCCTCCCAAATAGCTGGGACTACAGGTGCAGGCAATAACACCTGGCTATTTTTAGAGACAGGGTCTTGTTCTTGCTCTGACTGGTCTTGAACTCCTGAACTTAGGCAATCCACTCACCTTGCCAACACCCAACCCAGTGCTAGGATTACAGGTGTGAGCCACCTCGCAGGCCAGAAGCATATTCTTCTTGAGAAAAGATGCTTAGGCAAGGCCTTAGTCCTTTCAAGCTGCTATAACAAAATATCACAGACTGGGTAGCTTATAAAAAACAAAAATTTATTTCTCATAGTTCTGGAGGCTGGGAAATCCAAGATCAAGGCACCAGCAGATTTGGTGTCTGGTAAGGGCATCTTCCTGGTACAAATGTGGCAATCTTCTCACTGTGTCCTCACATTGCAGAAAGGGCAACAGAGCTCTCTGTGGCCATTTTTATAAGGGCACTAATCCCACCAATGATAGCTCTACCCTCATGATCTAATCACCAAAGGCCTTATCTCCTAAACCATCACATTAGAAATTAGAATTTCAGCATATGAATTTTGGGGTGCACAAACATTCAGACTACAGCAGATAGCAAATTTTTTGAGGTCCTGCATGTCTGGAAATCACTTACTACTATGGCTTATCCCCGCCTCAAATTGTAGCTCCTGATTGTGGCCTGTCATGTAGAGGACCCTTCACAACTCCTTCTGGTGCCATGGTGGGAGTGAGCTAAGGGGTATACCTTGGCTGGATTCCTTTCTCTGTCCTACTCTTCCTCTGTGGCACTACCACCCTGACCCAAGTCCTCAGTGCCCTTGGAATCTGGGTCACAGGCTTGCTGCCCTCCCTAAATTATGGAACCACCCTCGTTCCCCTCTAGCCCATCAACCTCCCTATCTGCAAGGTCCTACTCTTCCCCTCACTCTGGCCCTGGCCCTTCCACGGACCCTGGTGTTCTGTAACTGCTGCTCTACCTCCACAGTTACCATTTGTCAACCACTGTCCCCCCATTCTTCCAGTCCCCAATGTCCTGGAGTCCTAAGCCCATCTGTTTCAGGGAGAGCAGGGTTCCCTCATCCCATCCACAGATCTCTGAGCTTTTCCTCCAAGTGTCCAGCCTCCTGGCCTCACATCCAGCTTCTCTAGCCAAACGCAGATCTGGCAACACCCCAAACACTGGCCTGCCCACCATCTTTTATGCCTCCAAGACCTGCTGGAACCTGATCAAAGGCCACAGGGAGTTGCCTCAAAAGAAGCTCTGCCCTAGGGGGCCTTCAGCACGGCACTCCTCCCCCTCCCCGCGTGCCCCTCTATTCCTTTGCGACAGAGGTTTGATTCCCGCTACCAAGCACAGGCTCCTCCCCTGTCCCTGATCACTTATCTACACTTGGCCATCTCTTCGCTCCTCCCCTTCCCCACTACAACCTGACTTCTGCCTGCACCCTACAAACCCTTGTCTGTGAAGCCGCAATCAGCAACAGACTCCAAGGTCCATGCCTCTGCACCCTCTTTCTTGCCTCCTCCACCTCCTTCTCCCGGGGTTATTGCACTTCGGGCTCTCGTCTCCCTCCAAGCCGCCTCGCCACTGCGAGCCTGCACCTGTAGCCAGGAGACCTGGCACCCGCTTGGCTCCCCGCCCCCGCCGTTTCTGCCCTCAGCCCGGCTCCCCCGCCCGTAGGCCCACTCTCGCCGCGGCTTCCCAGCTCTGCGTTTCGGCCGCTGGCGGCGGGCCCTTCCTGGGAAAGCTGGCACAGCGAAGAAGGCGCGCCGTGCGCGCAGTAGACTGGAGACTCACGCACGCCGCAGCCCCAAACCCAATGGCAGGTCTGCTCGCGAAGCTCACCGGTCCCGGGGTGCAGCTGCCAGGTGAACCCCGA